AAAATTTAAAGAAATAAATACACAAAGAAGTTAAGGGGATTCAACATATAGTATATATATGTGGTCCTTGGTGTTATATATATATCTCTTCTGTGGACTTCTGTGTTAGTCGAACCATGCTTATCATTCTTTCTTGCCCATAGTTGCCACAAATCTAGAGATGCACTCTTCAAACTTTTATTTCGACATTTTCTCCTTTCTTGCTTTACATATCTTTTCTTTGAAATTTGGATATAATTACATGACTAAGATGAGATAGAGCTAAATCAACAATTCTTGTTGTGCTGTATATGGCATTTCCCACCTCCAAGATATACCCAGCAGTTATTCTCCCCCAGAAAATCTCCAACCAAGAATATATATTAACTTTGAAAGCACACAATGGTGCAAAATCATTGTTGGTCCAAATCATGCTACCCACCCACTACTCTCCTCCCCTTTTCTTCTTCTGTTGTTCTGTTCATTGTTTCTACCACGAATACACGACCGCTGAATCAGCACTACTTAGTTATACACTGGGATGAAATAGTACGTAATTTCAAACTGAGTGTCCTCCTTTTCTTTCTAGACCTTCCCAAAATATCCTGGTTTCCAAAAAAGAAAGTTTCATCGTACCTGGTATAATCCAAGAAGTTCACATGGCTCTTACTTTTCCTTTTCTTTTGTTACAAATTAAAAAGTTACCCGGATACCACATTTTTACTCGTTAAGCACTAAATATTTTGTCTTCATTTTCATGCCAAGTCAAGCATGGACTTTTTTTTGTGGCAGGATGAATGGAGAACTTAATTTTACCTCTGCTCTTAGTAGACATATTATTGCCGTGGTTTGTAATGTAATATGAGTGGATATTCCATAGGGAAATTCCGTAGTGTAATAGGAGTGGATATTGTTCTAAAAGGATGGTTAAGTTTCCATCAATCATCTCATTTCAAATTATTTTTGCAGGTACATGGAGTCATACATGATAAGAATGGAAAAAGAGTGGCAACAATATCTGGAAAATGGGATGAGAGTTTGCATTACTCCATGGGCGATAGTTCATCAGAAGATGTAGGACAAGATTCTGAATCGAAGTCACATTTGCTTTGGAAGCGGAGCAAACCATCAAATTACCAAACAAAGTACAACTTTACGCGTTTTGCAATCACCTTGAATGAGCTCTCCCCTGAGCTTAAGGTAAAGGGATATTTTAATAGACACGTCATTTTTTTGTGTCATGGACATCCATATCTTTCAAATGTATTCTAATATCAGTACTTTACCTCTGTATCTGCACACAGCAAAGGTTGCCACCAACAGATTCAAGGCTGAGACCTGACCAAAGGTTTCTTGAAAATGGAGAATATGACATGGCTGATTCAGAAAAGTTGCGGTTAGAACAGAGGCAACGCGAGGTGAGACAAATAGTTATTTTCTTCAATATTGACATTCTAATAAGCATGGTTAGACTTTGGGTTTTGTCAGATATCAGTTGTGATTACCAACCAGTTTACTGTTTAATATAAGCGCTAGCTTGATTTATAACGAGGTAACAAGGTAATTAGCATGCTTATAACCTGGTTATATTTATGAGGCATCCAAATGAATCAGTATTTACTCACTTAATATTCTATGGATGTACAATATCAAACTTGGAGGAACTTACTAACTCTTGAACTAGGATCATTCCTTTTATATGTTTGCTTCACATCTAAGTCAGAAAAGCATCTTTTACTCAAAAATTAGTTTACTAACGAACATCATCATTTGCTTTACAAATTTTCACCATTCTGGATAATAATCCATGTTTGTATCTCCAAATCTTTAGGCAATTGTTTCTTTCTCGTTGGAATATTGAGATAGTAAACAGGCCTAATGAAAAATAGGGCATAACGGAAGAAAAGGATTTATACAGACGATAGAGATTAATCGGGATTAAGCTTTAGGCATGATAGTATGTTTACATAGGCATATGTAGAGTTATAGTACGGGGTTCATCTGAACCCAACCCAGTATTTTCGACATGGAATATTAATTTAGTTTAAAAATTCACTAAAATTGCAACATATAGTGGGTCTGAACCCATAAATTTAAAAATATAATATGTTCAATACTAAGAACCATAAATGTAGAACCCATAGAATTAAAATTCTGGATCCGCTTCTGTTAGTGTTTAGTATCGATCCAATGGTTGCTAGTAGAAAATATTGAGAAATCTTTGTGCTAGAGGAATTTTTTCCTTTTTCAGAGAGTTTCTTGATTTTATTAAAAATAATGTTTTATATTATATTGGACAGAATGACTAGACCCCACTTGTAGAATTTTACTGGGTAGTTGTTGTTGTTGGACAGAATGAGCCTAAATAGAGCGACATGAATAATGAAGATTCATATAGTCGACCCCAACTTGCTTAAGATTGAAGCATTGTTGTTGTTGTTGTTGTTGTAATCAAGATTTTGTATATGCAGGCATCAAAGATGCAGGAAAGAGGCTGGAAACCAAGGTGGTTCGCAAAACCAAAAGGTAGTGATACATATCAATATAAAGGAGGATATTGGGAAGCTAGAGAAACTGGTAAATGGGAATCATGTCCTGATATTTTTGGTGAAATATTTCAAGTGATTTGATCCCCTATTTCTTACTTCCATTGTTCTTGGTCCTTATTCTCATGGTTTTATACACTGAACAAACAAAATGGAATTGGAATTGTACATGAAAACTAAAACCACAGAATGAGATAGGCTAAAGGATTGGTGGTGGAAGAGCTGCTATTTAGAATTAGCCGGTACGTTCCGAATTTCATAATTACAGTTCAATTTTTTGGGACAAAAATATCCTGAAGTTAAGATTTTTAGTTCAAAATTTCATGACAAAATAAATATTGGCTAAGCTCTGAATAACATCCAAGAAATGGCTGTTTGTGCACCTCCCCCTTCTTTTGACCTTATATCCATTTGTAAAAGGTTTTCTTTTTCTCCAACGTTTGATTTCTCAATTCCTATATACTGTGTTTTGATGCAAATTTTCCTTAAATTCCCATGGGAGTATTGTTTGATTTTAGGACTTGTAAATGATAATATGCCAAAGTACTGGACAAAAGAAAAAAAAGGATAATATGCCAAATTGTGCTATTCTTTTGATTATACATACTTGACCATTCTTTTTGAGAATTGTACTGTAGAATAAATCTCGAATTAATCTTGTCCATTTTTGTAATAGCAACATTAGTTTATTTGTAGCTCTTTTATGTACATTGCACTGAATTCATTGTACTGTTAAAATTATGAGTTCAGATCTAATCTTTCTATAGGTATTTACATATATATCTATATTTTATGTCGAAAGTTTTGGGTTCAGATAAACTCGTAGCAAAAAGCTATATTGCCTCTACTCATATGCTACTAAGTTTCTTACTATAGCTTCAAAACAAGCATTCAAAGTGATGATCATCACCTTCCTCCTTCTCCTAATATCCCTGATCCCTCCATCGGTGAGATTGAAATTTATTTTGGCGATTTCATCAAGTTCTATGATTTATAGAATTTCAATCTCTTCTATTAAAAGCTTCTTTTCGTCTTGATCATGAAAATACTATGTTTCAATAAAAATAAGAGTATCATTTGACTCATTTCATATTTATGAGTTTCGAAAGATACATGTTTCAAAAAAATATTTATTATCTTTTTTAATTAAAGGCGTGAATAAAATATTTCAACAAGAATATTTATCTTTTTTTTAAAAAAATTCTGAAAAATAAATATGTTAAATCTTTTTATTTGTCTTTTAATAATTTTAATTTGTCTTTTAATAATTTTATTTTGATATAGTTTGTTACAAATATACCTCATTTAGCATGAAAGTGTAAATTTTTTATAGTATAGGGTGTAAGTATTTGATTTTAAAAAATAGGGAGTGTATACGAAACTAGGTCATATTATTTATACTGTATAGGAGCTTTTGTGTATTTAACCATATCAAATATATCAGAATAAGTCCGAGAAAATTTATCTTATATTATTCTAAAGAGACTATTCCCACTTTTGGCACTAGTGTTTCAAACTATGAAAGGGAAAGCAATGGAAAAAGAAAGAAAGTCAAATTTTAGTGATTATACTAAGAAAGAAGACAGTCAAGGAATTTCATTAAAGTCAAATTCTCTCAAGTCTTCCTAGAACTGTTCACCAATCTTCAATATGTTGCAACAAATGGAATTTCTAGAAAATTTGAGCTGCAAATTTTGACCACTTCATACAATAAACTATACTTTTTTTTCTTTAAGTAAATATTTATAAATATTTAACTGTTAACACAACTATTATTACATATAACTTAAGGTCGATGTAAGAACCAATAAATTTTAAATATTGGATCCGCCTCTACATTATATAGAATGATATCTCTCCGACCAGAGAAATAAAAAAAAAAATTAACTCCAATAGCCGTACATCCAACCAATTAAAATATGACTAATATTATTCCATTAATACCTATTTATAAAGGAGAGAACATATTTATCCAAGAAAGACATATGTGTGGTATCCTTTGTTTGAGAAGGGAATATTTGGATATTGAGTTTCCACTAGAAATGTGCTCACATCACATCGTACTAAACTTAATTATGTGAAATATAATAATCACTATCTGAGTCAATGGACTATTTTTTGCCTTCTTTCCAAAATTTTAGATTTTGGAGCTTAGAGGAAGCAAATCCTGATTAGTCGAGGTACTAGCAAATATTTATTTGAAATTTATATATCTTTTATATATGTATAAAGATAAAGATCTCTTATTCAGATGTACTCGTATTCGTGGGGATCATGGCTCACATATGAATCTTGTCATATTATTTGACATTTTAATAAGAACAATCATTAATTATATTTGAACTCCGAAATGAAAAGGAAAAAGAAATAACAAGAAAGAAATTAAATTTCATTATAATGCCGATAAATCTTCTAAGATGTATTATAGAATTCCATTTCACAACATGTTTTTGGATTTAAAAAAGTACACAAAAGTATCAATAACCTTTAGTTACATTACACTTGATTATTTCGATTATTATATGAATAATCGATACATAAACATAGAAGCAAGAAAAGTCAAGTTCTGAAGATCATATTTTGCCAGGAATATTGATAAATTCCAACTCTCTTTTGAGGAACTTTTTGCAAATCCTTTCCAAACATTTCCTATCTGGCTCAGCTTTATAAAGCTTAGATTTTGCATCTTCTGCAAATCCACTCTGTATATATAAAGAAAAAAATACAAAATTGATGAGAAAGAGAAAACATGAAATAGTAACAAAACCATGAAACAAAAATATATAGTTATAAAAAAAATATTCTAACTAATTTAATTTACCTCAATACAACCATTGGAAAGGAGACGATCAATGAGATTAGAGAGTATATCTTTGGTATATTCAGGGTGGCCTTGAATGCCTAATATATGATCTCCCATTGTGAACATCTCCACATTAGTCTTTTCTGAAATTGCTACTATTTCTGCTCCCTTTGGCACTTCCCACACCTGTGTATAAGTCATAACTGATTGAAAAGAATTGGATTTGGGAATTTACAGAGTGGCAAAACCAGCGGCGGAGCCACCTTACAGCAAGGGGTAGACACCCCTTCGCGGGAAAAATACACGTGTAAGTAGGTAAAATTATTTCTTATATGCATATTGACTTTCGTATGTTTACTTTTATATACTTTGATTAAACCCCTTAATGAAAATTCTGACTTCGCTATTGGGCAAAGCAACAACATGGCGAGTAGCATGTCATAACCCGACACTAGAAATTTGAACTTTACTGGTATTTAATGTGACAAAAATAGTTTTATCACTTTACTATTTCAATAGATAAAGTTCAGTGACCGTACGTGAGACAGATCCTTCTCTCGCAATAGGCTAGAACCCTAGAGCAAATATGATTTCAACAACAACAACATACCCAGTATTATCCCACACCGTGGGGTCTGAGGAGGGTAGTGTGTACGCAGACCTTACCCCTGTCTTGTGAGGATAGAAAGGTTGTTTCCAATAGACCCTCGACTCAAGAAAGTATAAGCACCATATTAATGAAAATATAGACAAGAAGGGACAGTACCAAAAAAGCAAATAAAAGCAGGATAAAACAACAAGATAGTAAGGTGGTCAACAATGAAAGAAAATAACAAAAACCTACTACCAACGAAAATTGAGACTGCGTGCCAATACTACTATTATGAACACCCTAAACTACATACTCTACTACTCTAATCCTCGACCTCCATACCTTCCGATCAAGGATCATAACAAATATGATTTCACAATAGAAATATAGAGATATATACCTCATCTTGGTGACACTCAATGATTGAAAGTGCAGGTGGGATTTCATCCAAATCACTAAGGAAACTATGTGTAGAGAAGTTCTTCACAATGCTTAATTTCCTTAGTCCAATATCCCAACCATTGCAAGCTTTTCCAACTTTTCCTCCCAAAGCTCTACACAGAACCTATAAATATGAAAAATGAGTATACATGTTATTAGATATTTAAATTCTCTTTTTATTTGGACAAAAGTAAAAGTCTTCCTTATAGAGCAAGATGCAAGTACTTTTTATTAAATCGCATTTATTAAGGAGTGTTTGGTCCCATAATGTGAGATTTTTCGATGCGAATCTAAATTTAATCGTGTCCGATGCACGTACCAGATACCTAGGGAAAATCCCAAAAAAGCATACTTTTTTTGTTGAGAGATGCAAGTGTGCAATGTGGTCCTTTGCACTTTGGTATATGTACTTTACCCAACTTGTTGGATGATTTTATTAATTTATTCTTAGAAAATATTATCACTATTCATTTCCAATGTGTTGGGGAAGGATTTTTGCTATCTTTTTTTTACATGGATTTAATACACTCATTATGTAAAAATAGTTTATCTTGATAATGAATTTTAGCTTATTGTAATAGCAGATAACCTATCTTATTTTTCAAATTACTAATTACACTTAACGTACGTGGTTACAAGTAATTATAGAGTAATTACACTCTTTTGACATACCTGGTGGCCAAAGCAAATGCCAAGAACTTTCTTTTGCATAAAAAACAAAGTTTGTAAGAGAATGCAAAGCTTAAGAATCCAATGCTCATTCCCATATGCATCAAAAGGACTTCCACTAATTACAAATCCTTCATAATTTTGAAGCTCAGCCATATCTGGAAATTCATCTTCAACCACTCTAAACAAATCCCATTTCTCTCCTTCTTCACCTAAAGCTTCCAAAAATACATTAAAATATCCTCCATATACTTTCTTCACATAATCTGAATCCTTTGCAGCTAACAACAAAGCATATCTCTTAATCTTCTCCTCTTCAATCTTCATTCTCAAAGAGCGCCTAAAGCAGAAAGTCTCAGTACTAAAAGACGTAACTTCAGGAGTTTTTCTATAAGAAGAGTAACTTATCTCAATTATTTGATTAGAGTTTCAGTACTGAAAGACGAAATTTCAGGAGTTTTTCTGTAAGGAGAGTAGTTTATCTCAACTACTTGATTGGAGTTTGTGGCATAGATGGCAATCACTATGTGAGTGTGTGAAAATGAGAGAAGAGAGAATAATAATTCTTCGCTTAGCTTTGGAATCAAGACAATGCTATTTGTTGGTTTATGTTTTGAGAGAGTAAATAAAAGATGTATTTATAGAAGGAAAAAAAGAGGATTCCATTTGTGTTTTTAGTCATATGAAATATATCTACGCGTTTTGACATCGTAACTTGAATAAGTAGAGGAATTAATAATTAACAAATAGAAGCATTATTAAATACACTAGTAAACATGCATGGTTTCGAGGAACTATACAAGAACTAAAATAAAAGATGAAAGAGGTCGAAGGTTTCTTCACTAAAGTTTCTTGCAATATCTATTT